AATGTACGCGTGTTTAAACAACACCTCTCTTTTTAGAATGTAGTGAATTTGTTGCAACAATTTGTTTTAGAACCATTCTGATTCAAAGATACAGATTATGAAAGTTGTTCAATGTGGATGTGAAACACTAAATTGAAGCAACCAAGCTACCTGGTAGCAGTCCTTTCATGACCTGACTTTTGTGGCAAAGAGAAACATGTTCTTAAAAGTTCCATAATCCCAGCAAATGTTGCAATAACGAGCAGTAGAAACAGCACTCGTCTATGCCATTTCATTCTTTCTAAAGCATAAAGGTATATTTGGTAATCCTTTTAATTCCTTCGAGTAGGTGGACTGCTGCGTGCAATAACAGCAGAAGTCTGATAGATTAAGGAAAATGAGTCACATGTCAGTAGCCTCAATGAGAATATAGTGTTTTTTTTTCTCTTCCTCTCTTCTAAGGTATGATTTGAAGTGTCTCCACCAATAACAAAGCTCTGAATATGTAACGATTTCATAAAGCTTACACAGGCTTGTAAGTTATACACAATACCGCCCAACTTCTGCAAAAATACACGGTTTCACATGAAAAGCCGTGACGAGCGTCGCATTGTCATAACTTCTTTCAAAATAGATGTTTTTCAAAGGGTAAAGCGACATCAAACTTAGCTCGTCCAAAAGATTTTTCGAGTATGTCACACTACAGTGACATCTAAGGTATATGGTAGGAGGTCAACATCGCGAATTCGTCTAAAACTTCGCCTAGAAGGGTTATCTGGTTCCCTGATTAAGGAGAATTCATCCATTTCTTACAGTAGCGACTTACTGTCAAGATATAACATACGTGTCGTCGGGTTATGGTACATCGGAAAAGACGACGCAATCTTTGGGCATAGCTGCGGCTAAAAACCATCTTCGGTTCAAGCTCGCAACTCTCACTCACGTGTGTAAGAAATCTAGACCGGTGGCATGGTACAAGATCGGAATTTTGAAGCGAAGGGAAGACTATGACTTACTTGCAAAACTAAATGCACTCAGACTTATCTACTGGGTATAAAGCTTAACGCGCCTGGGTTTACAATAATTTAATCGTTAACAAGTTATAGATGTGAAGCGGAGCTTCAAAAAATCTCCAAACGTAATCTTATGGCAAAAGGTTACCACGCTTAGATACGTGTAGGACATTGCACGAGCGGTAGGGCAGTGCAAAAAGATATAAGTGACTGAAACACTTACGAAGGTGTTTGCCAGCTGACCGAAGGGGATAATAGAAGTAAAATGGAAGGGCTTCGGATTTGATTTTTTGTAGAGCCTATCGCTACAGGTTTTGCGAGAAAGGCGCTGTCAATTAGAATCTGCGGCAGAGGTAATGTGCAACAAAGAGATAGACATGTTATTTTCACAAAACTGACTCCACAGAAACGTATAATAAGTCCATAAGTCCTTAGCTATTTACTGACTGCTTGTCTCAGCCTCTAAATGAT